ACCTCCAGGAGTTCACATCGTTGGGGGCAAGTGGCTGTTTCGAGTGAAACAGCTTCCGGACGAGGCCCCAGTGTTCATAGCGCGCTAGGGATTCACTCAGCAGCAGTACTTTGACTTCTTCAAGATATTTTCTCCCACATCCAAACCTCCCACCGTTACTACGCTCTTGGATATAGCCGCACGAGAAGACTTCGAGATCAAATCCATGAACGCCTCATCGGCCTTCTTGCAAGGACACCTCGGGGAGACAGTGTTCATGGATCGAACTGAAGGCTTTCCAGAAGAATTCCCTCCCAACACTGTCTGCAAGCTGAATGGCCATGTTTACGGGCTCAAGCAAGCCCCTCGTGAATGGCACAACAATGTGAAAGAAGTCCTTCTCTCATTGGACTTTCACCCATCATCTACTGACCCGACTCTTCATTCGCCGTCACTCTGAGCCATTCTACATCATTGTCTACGTCGATGACTTCATCCTCGTTGCCGAGGACTCGGCCCAGATGACATCTGTCCAGCGGCCCTGAGCAAGGCCCTCCTGATGAAAGACCTCGGTGACCTCAAGCACTACCTGGGGATGGAGATCGCTCGTGATCGTCAGGCTCGCACCATTTCACTCTCCCAGGTGTTTTACATCAACAATGTGCTCAAGTGGTTTGAGATGGAGCTGTGGACTCCTGTTGCCACCCCGCTGCTACTACAACACCTCCTCACGACCCCAGCTGTACCCACACCAAAGGTCTGCTCCGAGGCATGTCAACGGGGGTTGCGTGTTGGCCCCGTCCTTGCTTGGGCGGAGCCGACTTCATGGTCGGGTGTGAGGGGAGCAGCCGACCTGCAGCAGTGGGCGAGCTGGTTGACGAGGAGGTCGACCTGCACGGAGACCACTGTACGCGCGCCGACTTCAGGGTGGCGCCGACATCTGGTGAGGTCGACTTGGGGTGGTCGTCGACTTGGGAGGTCGACGGGCATGTACGGGAGCAGCTGGTCGACATGGTTGCCCGGTCGACCACGTTGCCTGGGTGACGAAGTTCTGCGGAGGAGTGCGACTGTCGCCCAGGCGAAGGTATCCCGAGGTCGACATGGCGGATCAGGTGGAGTCGTCAACACGAGGATGACTTGGTTTGTGCGTTGTGCAGGTGACGAGGCTCAGCCCGCCAATCATCTGCGAGCACCTGCGAAGCGGGTGCGCTGCCGTTCTGAGTGAGCAGCGCTGGCACACCGTCAACCTGCGACGTTGGCACGCCGTCGACTTTGCACTGCTGGAGCGCGGTCGACCAAGTCGTGCTGGAACGCGGTCGACCATGCTGCGCTGGCAGTCGACCGACCTGAATGCTAGCTCTGATGTAGTCTTGCCATGCCAACTTCATTGTACCATTGTTGTCAACTTTCTCTAGTGAAACTCTTGCCGATTCTCCTCGTGAACAAGCAAGCTGTGTGTGCCCTAGGAAAACGACTAAGGACCAACGAACGCAGAGATCACACGAGCACCCGTGCCTAGCCCGTAGTCTAGCTCTCGTTGTAGTATTTATCTCCGCAAGGCATACCCGGAGCTTGTTGGGTCCCTCATGTACGCCATGATGTGCACCCGCCCTGACCTGGCATATCCTGTCAGTGTCCTCTCTCGCTACGTGGCCCCAGGACGCTTCACTGATCTTCATTGGAAGGCGGCGAAGCGGGTACTGCGTTATCTTCAGGGCACCAAGTCTCATGTTCTCACACTTGGTGGGCTTTTTCCTCCTCGACTCGAAAGTTACACTGATTCTTCTTGGGCTGATGACCAGACTAACCGACGTTCTTCCCAGGGCTCCTGCTTCACCCTTGGGAGCGGAATTGTCACCTGGCGCTCCACCAGATCGTCCGCAGTCTCCCTCTCCTCTTGTGAGGCAGAGCTCTACGCTGACATCATGGCAGCTCAAGAGGCCTGTTGGCTCACCTTCCTCCTCCAGGAGCTTGGCTACCCTCAGCCCACCCCCACCATACGGTGTGACAATCAGAGCACCATCCACCTCTCCCAACCAAGACTCTGTGTACCACACTCGCACCAAGCACATCGAACTCTGGCACTTCTTCATCCGTGACCTTGTTCAGCGAGAGAAGTTGAATGTGGAGTACATTGCATCTAACTACAACTTGGCCGATCTGTTCACCAAGATTTAAAAAAATGTTCCTCACCACCGTCTCCTTGGCGTCATGGGGCTCTGTGCTCCACGTTCTCAGCCATGAGTTCGATTACACTTTGTGTTTGGTTGGGTGTACACCTACATCCCTCCCAACCAAACCCAAACATAATCTCCAAGCAATCTCCAACCCACCAATTAGAGATTGTCTTGGAATTACCCCCAATCCTTAAAGATTGCCCTCGATTCCCTCCCCCATCCATTGCTTGCCCATCTTGGATGTACTTAAATAGCTTCTGGCTCAACACTAATGGATCACTTCTAAGTTTATGTTGTGATACGCACCCGCTGGCTCCTCCTCCGCTGGGATCCGCTGGTGTCTTCGCCCTCTCGCGACGAGCTCCCTCTTGGCCTCAGGCCTATTTCATCTCTCCTTTGGGTAGGCCATCACTGCATACTCCCGTCGGTACTCCTCCTCTTCCTCTTCTGCGCCTTCGATTTCTTCGTACGCAAACATCGCCCGCGTCTTTCCTTCTGCCGTCGGCTGCATCGTATTCTAGCTTCAGCTGCAGTTTCCTCACTTCTGCTTGCAATCCTTCGCGAGTTGCCCCCAGCTGCTTCTTTGGCTTACTGTGACAAACCTCCTTGCGGTGGCCTCGTCTACCGCATTGCTCGCAGATAGGCGCATTGGGGCATTCTCGCTTTATGTGCCCACCTTCCCCACATGTGTGGCAAAGTCGGGTGTCACCTCGACTCGACTGCTCCCTATGGTGTTCACCTCGGCACTGCTGCTGCCGCCCAGCTTGTCTTGGTCCGGCTGCGACCCTCACTGTCCTCCAGATCCAGCATGCGTTGTGCGTGTTCGGTTCTTTTGGCCAGCCCGTAAACCTCTTTCAAGGTGATGTCGGCGCTGCCCATTTCTGGTCCTGCGGTGTTTTGCCTGGGTACGAGACAACATTCCGTCCCTGTTCCATGTCTCTGTCTGCCGCCCGTGCCCGTTGCTGCGGGGTCCTATACGTCGGTGTTGTAAGGGTTCGCGATGTCTGAGCTAGACATGAGCACAAGGGTGAACACCAGTTCGGTTCACCTCAAACATGTTCGAGGCGAACCGAACACTTTTCTTTTTTTGGCCTAAAGTGTTGGGGGCGAACATGTTCGTTTTCGCCCGAACATGTTCGTGTTTGGTTCGTCGCAGCTAGCCAAGCTGCGCCGAACACAAACATGTTCGTGTTCGCCTTGTGTTCTGGGCGATTTGGGGAAGAAACCAGCGAAAAAACTAAACTTCACACATCATAGCATCTCCACTTGCTGAAACCGACGCCCATATCATAACCAGAAGCCCATTTCGCCCATCCCACGGCTGTTGAAAAGTCGAGCATGAACATGTTTGCCAGGAACATGTTCATGCTACAAGCGAACATAGGAGTGTTCACCCCTAGAGGCGAACAGGCGAACATCATGTTCTCAGAAAGTGTTCACGGCGAACATAGTTCGGTTCGCCCAGGTGACACGTTTGCCCTGGGCGAACACGAACATGTTCGTGTTCGCCTCTTGCTCAGGCCTGGTCTGAGCAGTCTGTCCTTCCGTGTGAACCGTGTGTGCGCGCCAGCTTGGCGCAGCTCTCGTTACTTCCGTTTCGTCCCACAAACGTGTTCGTAGTTGGCGCCTGCTATTCATCGGCGATTCCTTGCGTGTTTGTTGTGCTACCAGATGCCAGTCTTCCCTAGAGCTAGCAGACTATGGATCTAGCTCGGCTGACTCTAACTGACAGGTCAAGGGTCACTGAGTTTGCTTGCGAATGTTGGCTTCACTGGGGTGCTGTTACCCTGAGTTACGGAGTCTCAATCAATATTGGTGTGAAAACAAACACGCAAGCAGCTCTGGCAATGCCTGCCTCTGGCCTAAGAATTTGATCCTAGTTACCATTGCCTGCACCGTTGGTACTTTCGCTGGTCGCTACTTGACTTTGCCCGCACTTCATGACCCTAATCTGAATCTGCCTCTCTATAGCTTGCTTCTGTATCCTATCAATCGTGAGTATATATTGTGTTCACCTACTCCTACGATTAAAATTATGACATAATCTCTAGAAGGGATGGCATGAACAGTGTACCGAACCAAACCTGTTTTGGATTGAACCAGAAAGAGGATTGCCCAGTTCTAAGTTCGTCTAAAAATGGTTGGACTGGGCAGGTTCGAACCGTACCAGAAATGGTTCGGTTAGGTTCGATTCGAACCAGTCTAGGTTCCGATCGACCAGCCCTAGCTAACCACACACTAGCCCTAATATTTGGGTAAAATCGTTATTTCAGCCCTCAAAACACGGTTTGCCCTAGAGACCATTTGAAACCTTGGTGATTTTACCTAGAGCACTTCAATGCTGTGGGGGAGTGGGGGGGGGGGGGGGGGGGGGGGGGGGAGGGTGGCCGGAATAGTGTAAGATAGTTGGACCGATTGAACCAGTTGAGAGATTAGGCTTGACGCAAAGTGGCTGGCAAAAAAGAGCCGCAATTCGATTCGCATCAAACTGAACAGCAGCTTGGTTATTTGTTCATGACTAAACGGGATGGAGTCACAGACGGGAAATAAATGTAGAGATAAAGGAGGTCAGGAAGTCGAGAGACGAGATAGTAGGGACGGAGTACACGTGAGCATAAGTCTGAGCCGATGGTTCGGCTTCGGCTTGTCGCCTTGGCTTGTCAAGCCAACGATCATGCTCCGTGGCTCCGCTGCTCTCTAGACAATCCGGACTCGGAGAACTTGCGCTGAAGACCCGACAGTTGGGTCGTAGAAAAGCCGGAGCCGGCTCATTCCGGCTCGTGACAGCTCAAGACGAGCCGGCTCGGCCCAGACTTATGCTCATGTGGCAGAGGGGAACCTTACAGCGATGAGAGAGATGGTACTGATCCAATTTCCACAGGGATGGAACCCGTCAGCTGATTATTCTCAAGGGACCTGTCGTTCCATTTGAGTGCACAAAGAAAGAAACAAGGCGTGGGGTTTTAACATGGAGAAGAACGAGGGTGTTGACTCGTGTCAAACGGAGGACGGAGGGATATCACATAGGATGAGGAGAAGAATGCTGATGAGCTTTCCTGAAATTTGATTTAGGAATCTAGATCAGTAAGGAGTCAAATGCGCTGACACTGGTATGAGATTAGACATGAGCAAGAGGAGTCAAACCTAAGTTCGGTTCGAGAAGTTCGGTTCAAGATAACTCGAACCGAACCTTTTTTCCATGAAAAAAGTCGTGCAAACCTACCAAAAGTTCGTGCGAACAGTTGGCGCGAACTTTTGCGGTTTGAGATTCAAACTTCTAAGTTAGCAAAAATTCGAACGTCTGTTCGGTTCGACTTTCGAGTCGAACCGAACAGGCCTTCTTTTTTGGCAAAAAATGTTCGACCCGAACGTGTTCGAGTTCGGGTCGAACATGTTCGGTTCGAAAGGCCTTTTTTTACGCGCCGCCTCGAACCTCGAACATGTTCGAGTTCGAAAACGATCTATGCGAACATCAACGTGTTCGCGGATAAATGGGCAAGACATTGGCAATGGCAATGCTGGTTTGCAGTATAGGGTTGAGACATCAGAGAGTGGGATCGTTTCGATCTCAATCTATTTGTCTAGAGCGGGTTAGTAACATCTTAGGCACTACGTAGCCACTTACATACGCCAAAATCACGTACGTTCTAGGCTATTGACATTTCCGCTATTTAAACTATTTAGTCTATTTAGGTTTATCAGCGTAGTTGCGGGAGTAAGGTAGCGTGTGAACTGAGTGTGTGTCCCCCTGAGTCAGTTGGTCTGGTTGGGTTTGGGAGGTGCATTGCGGTACGGTGGGTTTTGGGTGGGGTGGGCTGGCTGGGCAAAAATTGCGAAATCACTGTCGCGGTAGAATCGAAACAGTGGAGTGCGAAATTTTGGTACGCTGAAACCAGTATGTGACTTAAGTGAGTGGCGAACTCGAACATGTTCGAGTTCGCCACGAGGCGTGAAATGTTCGCGCGAACATCCAAGTGTTCGCCTCTGTAAGGCGAACTTCGAACATGTATTTTCTGCAAAACTGTTCGAACGAACCGAACATGTTCGGTTTGAAAATCCGACATGTTCGGCAAGGTTCGAATCAAACGTGTTCGGATTCGTGCGTTGCTCATGTCTACTTCTAACCGAACAGGTTTGAAGTTCGACACTGTCAAATTCGAACCATGAGAGGTTTGAGTTAAAGTCCCGCCAGAAAGAACCCTCGCGACTGTCCCGTCAAAAACGGGAAAGTCGTGGGGTTGGCTGCCATTTCAAGGCAGCCAACCCTAATCTCGTAAAATAGGTAGAGAAGATCTAGATCTGCTCTAAAAGACCACACCAATGCTTCCTCTCTACCAGTCTTTCACCACAAGTCCCTCTTAAGATGTGTCAAATGGTTACTTATTATGTTAGACAGACCAATGAGCCTCATTTTTTTTTTACAGATATTAAGGGGAGCATATCGTTGTGCATCCTTTTTAACCCCAAACCTAACAAGCTTTGATTTCGTTCGAACCTTTCAAGGTTTGAGCAAACCTTTAGGGTTCGCTATTAAACACTCAAACTCATACCTTAAAATTCCAAAAAAAGTTTGAGCAAACAAGTTCGGTTCGGTTCGACCACCATGCAAGGTTCGAAAAAGTTTGAGCAAACATGTTTGAGTTCGGTTCGTGCATATATCTAGTCAAACTTGGGCCAACCTGATTCAAACGTCACCAGCCTAATAGATAGCCAAACCAGGTCGAGTTCCAGTCAGTTCGAGTCAAGCTGACTTCTAGCCTTGCCGGCTTATGGGCCGACTATATGGGTTTGGCCACTGGCGGTTCGCCTTTCTCAAATACTAGTCCTAGTTTGTCTTGACTAGTCGCTAAAATCACACATTTCCAAGGTGGTTTAATTTTGTCTTATCGAAAAATTGCACTGGTTAAAAAAAAAGGAAAACAATACTATGGATTCTTGTTTTTTAGATTCTGATATAATCCGCATACCAGTCAACACTTTTAGGCACATGGAAGGATTGAGCAAACGGCCCGGGCAAGGTCGGTTCAACCCGTTGCTCAAGTGGAAGAGGAACCAAGTTACAGGAAAGAAAGAGCAGTGAGCTTTGTGATCCAGGAGGGCAGAGATCCTGACAACATGTTGGCATCGAGAGAGCTGTCGGTGGTGTAGGGGGTGGATGCATGGGAAGAATGGTTCCGAGTCCATTTGTGTGTTTGCAGGACCAGACCAGACTAAGATAAGAGGGATGAGATAACCCGAACGTGTTTGTCTTGAAATCAGATGAACGCTTGCCTTACCAGAACAGAACACGTTCGGTTTGGGTTGAACATATTTTGAAGAACAGGTTTGAAGTCGAACTCTTTAGTGTTCAAGTCCGAACACAATGTGTTTGACTCGAACTCAAATGTGTTCGGTTCGAGCAGCCACCACACCCCCCCACCCTCCACAGCCCCATCACCCCTGTCCACATCCTCCAACCCCCTCCACAGCCTCCTCCAGGTCCTCCTCCTCGAGCCCCCCCCCCTTGCAATGACGTTCCACTTCAATCTCGATTTCCACATTTCAAGCGCTCGAACATGTTCGTGTTCGACATGGTTCGACTGTTTTAGGCGAACACGTTTGACCCAAACAGTATATTGTTTGAAACAAACACGTTTTGCGTTCGACTTGAACAGGTTTGAGTCGACCAAACAGTTTCGCTTAGGGATGAGCACAGATACGAACACCTGTTCGGTTCGCCTCGAACCTAAGTTGCCAAATACGCTTATTGCGTATATACGCGTATCGTATATACGCTAGCATATGTACGCTATCCGCGTAGGGGGTCGATATGGACATACGCTTTTTCGGGCAGGGAAAAAACTTTCTGGGCAGGGCGGGAAAAAAAGTACTCCCTATTCTCACTATGACGTGCCCTTGCAGCATTATTCTGAGTCCGAACGGCGAGTGGGGCGGGAAGTGGGGTAGACATTTCAGCTAGAGAGAGAAGTAGGAGTGGGCGGGAGGAACTCTGTTGGAATCGGGAATGAATCGTGAGAAATGACGAATTAGCAGCTAGGCTGTCTGGTAAGTAGTGTGAAAGGTTAGTTGAGGGGTCGATTTTGACAGGTTGGAGTCTGTAAAAGGGTTGAGATGGGTTCAATGCGGAAGATGAGATGGGTTTCAATCAATGTGTAGATCTGAAATTCGACATTTGCCAAATGTGCCTGAAAACTTCTAAGTCAGATCCCGGCTAGCCTAGACCACGGATTTTCAAGTTGACTTCGGCGAAATGCTCATCTAGAAAATCCGCAACTATTTCGCGATTTTTTCTTCGGGGCAGCCCGGAAAATTCCGTGAAAGCGTATAGCCTATTCCCGGGCGTATAGCGCATAGCGTACAAACGCTATACGCTGAAGGGGTTGAGCGTATTTGGCAACTTAGCCTCGAACGTGTTCGAGGCGAACCGAACAGGTTTTTTATTTAACCTAAAAAAGTTCGTCACGAACGTGTTCGCTGTTCGAGCGAACAAGTTCGATGTTCGTTTTCATCAGATTGCCGAGCAGCGTCGAACACGAACGCGTTCGACTTGGGGATTCGACAAACACCAATGTGTTCGTCGACGAATTGGCCCATGACCAATTTTTAGCTCATTTCTGAGCTCAAACTAATCGCGACCTTAGCGCCAGTGCCAGCAAGGTGTTCGCCTTCACAGGCGAACGCCGAACGCTTTTTTTTTCAGAAGGTGTTCGGCGAACCGAACACTGTTCGGTTCGCCGAACGGCGGTGTTCGTGCAGGGGCGAATGCGAACACGTTCGTGTTCGCCCCTTGCTCATCCCTAGATTCGCTCATTTGCTCATCCGTAAAAGGGATGGCATGAGCAGTCTACCAAACCAAACCTTTTTGAGTCAAACCAGGAAGAGGATTGCCCAGTTCTAAGTTCGTCTAAAAATGGTCGGACTGGGCAGGTTCGAACCGAACCAGAGATGGTTCGGTTAGGTTCGATTCGAACCAGTCCAGGTTCGGATCGACCAGCCCTAACTTAACCGCACACTAGCCCTAATACTTGGGAAAATTCGTTATTTCAGCCCTCTAAACACGGTTTGCCCTAGAGACCATTTGAAACCTTGGTGATTTTACCTAGAGCTCTTAAATGCTGTGGTGGAGGGGGGGGGGGGGGGGGGGGTGAGAGGGTGGCCGGAATAGTGTAAGATAGTTGAACCGATTGAACCAGTTGAAAGGTTAGGTTTGATGCAAAGTGGCTGGCAAAAAAGAGCCACGGTTCAATTCGCATCAAACTGAACAGCAGCTTGGATATTCTTTCATGACTAAACGGGATGGAGTCACAGACGGGAAAGAAATGTAGAGATAAAGGATGTGAGGAAGTCGAGACACGAGATAGTAGGGACGGAGTAAACATGAGCATAAGTCTGAGCCAACGGTTCGGCTTCGGCTTGCCGCCTTGGCTCGTCAAGCCAACGATCATGCTCCGTGGCTCCGCTGCTCTCTGGACAATCCGAACTCAAAGAACTTGCGCTGAAGGCCCGGCAGTTGGCTCGTAGAAAAGCTGGAGCCGGCTCATTCCGGCTCGTGACAGCTCAAGACGAGCCAGCTCGGCCCAGACTTATGCTCATGTGACAGAGGGGAACCTTACAGCAATGAGAGAGATGGTACTGATCCAATTTCCACAGGGATGGAACCCGTCAGCTGATTATTCTCAAGGGACCTGTCGTTGCATTTGAATGCACAAAGGAAGAACCAAAGCGTGGGGTTTTAACATGGAGAAGAACGAGGGCATTGACTCGTGTCAAACGGAGGATGGAGGGATTTGCCCAACAATATGAGCCTCCAGATATCACATAGGATGAGGAGAAGAACGCTGATGAGTTCTCCTGAAATTCGGTTCAGGAATCTAGAGCAATAAGGGGAACGTGAAAAATGAGCCCCTGCTTTCTTCTTGACCTGAAATGGGGCCCACTTGACCCGTCAAATGGCCGCATCAAGTGTTCAACAGGTAAAATCCCAACCCCAAAAAGTCTGAAGTGCTGATAGTAGGGAGTAGAAATTAGCATAGGTCTGAACTGTGCGCGCGCCTTGACAGGCTTGTCGATTAGACGCGGGAATATTACACCCATCCACGCGGATCTAGCGGGTAGAAGTCAGACGTGCACGGGTTCAAGAGGTGGTGACGACAGGCATTGTTCATCCACGAGTATCCACCGGCTTATAAAAGTAGGAGCCAGCTCGTCCTGGCTCAACCAACTCACCCACGACGGACGAGCCACGAGCCGGGTGAGCTGCCGGCCCCGGTTCGTTGTGCCGCCGGCTCGTCACGGCCTGGACTTATGCTCATGCGGCAGAGAGGAGCCTTACAGGTATTTTAGACGACGTAGTGAACCAATTTCTGCAGGGATTGAACCCGTGAGCTGGTTATTCTGAAGGGCCCTGTCATTGCATCCAGATGCAGCAAGAAAGAAACAGAAGATAGGGTTTGACTATGGGCGAGCACAAGGGCAGTGACTCCTGCCAAGCGGTAGTCGGCCAATTTTGACTGACAAGATGACCCTCCGGAGGTCATGCACTAGGATGAGGAGAGAAATGCTGATGATTCTCCAAAGTGGGTTCAAAAGCTTAGTCAAGAACGTTATATCTTGAATATTTTCAAAAGTGATTCGGGCCACAAAGGAATGCCCGGGGTACTCATTGCCGAACCCGGGCCAAGGGACTGCTCGGCCAGCCCGAATCAGGCCGAACCAGTCGCCCGATTATCTTGCCGTCCTGGGTTGGTTCAACCTGGGCCGAACCTCATCCCTACTTACAAGGATACCAGATTGGTCAGCAAGCCAATGTCAGCGGGAATGGAGTTGGTGAGTTGGTTGTTAGAGAGGGAACTGTCCACGACAAGGAGGCAAGAGACACGTGGGGGGTGTGCAAGGAGTTGGACAAATGGATGAGAAGGTAGGTAAGGAGCTGATACTGGCATGAGATTTGACATAAGCAAGAGGAGCCAAACTTGGGCCAACCTGCTTCAAACGTCACCAGCCTAATAGAGCGTCAAACCAGGTCGAGGTCCAGTCAGTTCGGGTCAAGCTGACTTCTAGAGTTGCCGGCTTATGGGCCGACTATATGGGTTTGGACACTGGCGGTTTGCCTTCCTCAAATGCTAGTCCGTATTGTCCTGACTAGTCGCTATAATCACATATTTCCAGGGTGAATTAATTTTGTCTAATGGAAAAATTGCAGTGGTTTTTTATTGAAGGAAAACAATACTATGGATTTTCGTTTTTCAGATTTTGATATAATCAGCATACCAGTCAACACTTTTGCGCACATCGAAGGATTGAGCAAACGGCCCGGGCAAGGTCGGTTCAACCCGTTGCTCAAGTGGAAGGGGAACCAAGTTACAGGAAAGAAAGAGCAGTGAGCTTTGTGATCCAGGAGGGCAGAGATCCTGACAACATGTTGGCATCGTGAGAGCTGTCGGTGGTGTAGGGGGTGGATGCAGGGGAAGAATGGTTCCAAGTCCATTTGTGTGTTTGCAGGACCAGGCCAGACTAAGATAAGAGGGATGAGCATTACCCGAATGTGTTTGTCTTGAACTCAGACGAACACTTCCCTTACCCGAACCGAACACGTTCGGTTTAGGTTGAACATATTTTGAAGACCAGGTTTAAAGTCAAACTCTTTAGTGTTCAAGTCGAACACCAATGTGCTTGACTCGAACTCAAATGTGTTCGGATCGAGCAGCCACCACACCCCCCCACCTTCCACAGCCCCATCACCCCTGTCCACATCCTCCAACCCCCTCCACAGCCTCCTCCAGGTCCTCCTCCTCGAGCCCCTCCCCTTCCAGCGACGTTCCACTTCAATCTCGATTTCCACTAGGGATGAGCAAAATCCCGAACGCCTGTTCGGTTCGCCTCGAACATGTTCGAGGCGAACCGAACTGGCATTTTTTTTTTGCCAAATTGTTCGGGGCGAACATGTTCGGTGTTCGGCCGAACACGTTCGCCGTTCGGCTCCGTCATTTGGGGCCCCCAAGTCGAACACGAACATGTTCGTGTTCGAAATGGGGGTGACGCGAACACCAATGTGTTCGCGTCGAATTTGGCCGCGACCAGATTTAGGTCGCGGCCAATTCGAGGTTGAGCTCATTTCGTGAGCTCAACGTCAGAACGCTTTTACAGCCTAGCCTAGGGTTCCCTCTCACACCCGCCCTAGCGTTGCGGTTGTAGCATACAGTTACTACTACTAATCTCCACGCACATTAGGTCTAGGGTTTTCCTAAGTGTAGTGCGTGTAGGGTGATTTTAAGGTAGACTAGCATCAGGATCAAACAGCGCGTTGTCAACTCCGTAGGGTTCGGGACGGGCATTTCAGAAACCTACCCGTGCTCGAATACGTTTAGGACCGTGGTTCTACTCGACACGCGACCGTTGCTTCGACGGGGGTTTAGGGTTTTAGGGCCGAGGGCGGAGTTATGGCTTCCGGACATGGTAGATCCGTAGGGTTAGGTGCAGGCAGCACTCGGGGCGGCGCACCAGGTTCTCCACCACGACCTATGGAGGGGCGAGTAGGGGATGGACCTGGAGGAGCCGGCGCTTGCTTCATCGGAGCGGCGACAGAGGCGGGATCACAGCACGTGGCTGAAGGTGGAGGGAGCGTGGGTGTTAAGGTGGGGAGAAAGCCCGCGTCCTTGGCAGGGCCGAGGGTTAGGAAGAGGGGAAACAAATTGAGGGAGCGGGCGTATCCCTGCACATTCACTGGGGAGCCCTTGGGTGACGGTGTGATCGCTCCGGAGTTCCTAGACGAGGACGGAGGGTCAGAGAGTAGTAAGGGGACTGGCAAGGGGAGTAAGAAACCGGGGTGGCAAGTTATGATGTTCGGACCGAAAGGGGCAGACGAGAAGCGTCAGTGCAAAATTTGTGGCCTCCCCTTCCGCATCGTCGAGGCCGAGGCTGTGAGTGCCCCATCCCATGCATGATTGGCAGTATGTGGACAGTGGAAGTGTCTGGCCCGTTGTGTTTTGATTATTAGCGTGTGGCCCTGTGTGCCATATTATGTCAAACCCATCCCCCATACGTTGACTCCTCTCACCCTCGGTGTCTCTACCCCTCACCAGTTTCGGGAGCTTTTGATTCTCCTAAACCGCAACTGCGCGCAGAAGAACTTCATCCCCTCGCGCTGGACGGTTTCCCGCGACACTGTGGTCTATGCGGCTGCCGCTCTTCAGTCAGCCATTGCGGAGATGCTGGCGAAGGAGGGGGATTTGGGGTGCAGGGTGTCGTACACCATCGACATGTGGACGGCACCCAACAACAGGGCGTGGCTAGTGGTGACTGGTCACTGGTTAGACGAGAATTTCCAGCTGCACACAATGGTGTTTGAGTTCCGCGAGATTCACGGGCGGCACACGGGCAAGCAGATGGCGAGGGTGGTAGAGGAGACGGTGGTGCAGTGGGGGTTGGAGGGGCGCTGTCTTGGTTTCACCTCAGACAACGCCTCTAGCAACATTGCCGCTTTCAGGTGGATGTCGGAGGAGGGTGGTGGTCAGTGCTTCTTCAACTCGCGCATGCACTTCCGGTAAGAAAGGGAGTGTGCGTGGGCTGGCTATGTGGGAGTTTGGGTGTGTCGTTCCCGCGTGAACAACTTGTGGTTGTATGGGTGGGTGGGCCCTAGCGGCTCGATTTGTAGGGTGTGTGGGGTCTGATATGGGTTTGTGGCTCGCTATGCCCATTTGTACTCCCCCTTCTCTCCGCCATTAATGTTGTGTGCCGTGCGCAGGTGCTTGGCACACGTGATCAACCTTGCAGTGAAGGCAGCTCTCGCTGTGGCTGCCATCCGCAAGTTGTTGAAGATTCTAAGAGAGATGGCGTCGTGGATTGGCTTCTCTCCGCAGCGCTCAGGGAAGTTCTTGGGCCTTCAGCGGACCCTGAACACGCAGGCCAACCCCGCCAAACCGAAGCCGGCGTTGAAGCTGGTGCAGGACAGTCCCACGCGCTGGGGGTCGACCCACGACATGGTCGAGCGAGCTGGGGTTCTGCAGGAACCCATCACTGTCTTCTTTGCCCAGACACAGGTGTGTGTGACAGGTGTTGTGTATGCGGTCTAATGTGTGGGTATGTCGGGGTGCTGTGTTCTATCACGTCCACCACTGTTGGCCATGCTTTATGTATGTTATCGACCCCAACAACCCCAATAACCCTACTTTCCATCTTAACACCCGCCAACCCATACCCTCTACCCGACAGGGCCTGTCAAGGCTGACAAGGCGAAGGTGGATTGCCTGCGCCTGACGGACGCAGACTGGGAGACTCTGCATGCTGTAAAGACGTTCCTCAGCCCATTCGCCAAAGTCTCAAAGGCGGCGGAGGGTGCGACGTACCCTACAGTGGCGATGGTGCTGCCGTACTACAACGGCCTGATCGACGCTATGGAGTCGCGCCTTGCCAAGGGGCCATCGGCTACGCTGAAGCCGATGATTGAGGCGGCGCTGGGTCTCTTGAAGAAGTATGAACTCATGTCCAACAACGAGTTGTGGATCGCCACCTTCCTGGACCCTTCCATGAAGGCGGCGTGGTTCAACGACCCGCACTGGGAGACGCTGCATCCCGAGACCGACCGGAGGGCAAGGGCGCGTCCCTCGTCAGGCGAGGTGATCCAGCTGGTACACAACCGCGTGACCGAGTACCAGGCTCGGGCTGCAGCGCTTGCACCTTGGTCGACCCCACTTGCCACTGTGACGGAGGAGGAGGGGGACGCGGCGGATGACGACGAAGACGCGCAGTTTCTCCCTAGTCGTCGACGACTAGCGGCGCGTCTGTCAGCGAGCCAGGAGGCAGGGAGGGGTGGGATGGTGCAGGATGACGAGGTTAGCAGGTACTTATCTGAGAGGGTGCGGTGCGACGTGTCAACGTTGGAGTATTGGCGCTCCGCCACCAACATGCAGACGCTGAGGCGCATGGCCCGGGATTATCTCGCCATCCCTGCCACGTCCGCTTCGAGCGAGCGCGTGTTCTCCCTCGGCCGCAACCTCATTTCCTGGAAGCGGCACCGCCTGGCCTCTCAGAGGACGCGAGCTGTCATGATTCTCAGATCCATACACCCTGGACAGAGGATAGGCGAGGGCCGCCGTGCAAAGGGCGTCGCACCGCCAGAGTTCGCCATTGAAGGCGAGGGGGAGGAGGAGGACGACGAGGAGGAGGAGGAGGAGGGGGAGGAGGGGGAGGAGGAGCAGGAGGGGGTGGGTGCTGGCGACACCGCTGGCGGGGAGCATGCTGTTGTTGGTAGTAGCAGTGGTGTTCAGGCGTAGGACTTGATTTGACATTGACTTTTACATGAACATGATGGTGTCGTATGCTTGTGTGCGTTGCATGAACACAGAGACACCCTCCACACTATGTTGGAATATACGCGTTTGTCGTATATACGCGTTTGTATATACG